CTTCCACCTCCACCTTCCTTTCCAGTCTCTGTCCCTAGTTCTTCCCCCCTCTCTGGCCTTTTACATTGGAGGTTCCCCTTCCCGTACTATGCCTTCCCCCCGTCCCCCCCCAATTTCTCCCTTCTGCACCTCCCGGGTTTCTACCTCTTCTTCCCCCCCCCAACTTCATCTCCACCCCTTACCTTTTCCCTCCCCCTCTACTTTGTACAGTCCATTACGCCCAATCTTTATCACCCCCTCCCCATCCCAAATATGGTTTCCCTAATTTTTTAATTTCAGAAACATTTGAAGCCATTTCGAATATATTCAGAACAAAACCCTTTCAATGGACACTGTTTTCATTTTCCGTTTCCTTCTTTTCCCCTTTCCCCTCCATCTTCAAACCCCCATTCTCGACGCCCCTTTCCTTCGCACTTGAACATCTTCCAATGCCCCACACTTACTTTTCAACCCCTCTAGTCCGTGGGTGCCTTTACCTCAGTTTCCCTGATATTTTCTTCATCCCCAAATCAGGGGCCTTTTAAGGGAATTCCGGGGCCCTCAGGGAAATCGGGGGAGTTCAATTTGTTTTCCAGGTTTTCCCCTGTTGGTGCTTGCTTACAAAAATCCAAAATTAACTGGGCTGTTTTCCAACCTATTCGGGCAAATTTTTTGTATTCTTGGGATCCTTTCTCAGATGGATTTAATAAAAGGGCCCCTTTCCCTTTCTACGCAATGTATTCCGTACGCAACTATTGTCCATCCCCTCGCTGCATTCACGCAGCCCGTATCCCCTTGAATAAGTGGTTTACAATATGTTCTTTATATTCTCTCCTTCTCGGGATTTTCTACCCAGACTTTGCCTTTTGTTTCACCCTTTCCACCACCACTTCTGTTACTTGGTGATTTTAATGCCCCCATTTCCCTGGGGGGGTCTCAATTGTGACCACTGGATCATTGGGGGCTTTTTTTGCCTTCACCCCCCCATGTTTAATACGGGGACTCCCCCCCATTTTGACCTCTCCATACTCTCTCTTGCACGATCTACATCTCTCTTCTCCCCTGCACGACTTCACCTGGGCGTTCTACCGACTTAATGACGCGACATTTTCCGACATTTTTACTTCCCTTCCATTCACCCCCTTCCCCAACCTCGGGGGCAATTTGATCGGCAAAATTGGATCTTTTTTCCACCCACTCTTTAGTGAGGGTTTCCCTTTTTCCCTCCATTGATAGCTCCTACCATCTTCTGCATCAGTTTATACCGCAGCTTCCTTCATACCCCCCAAACCCCAGGGGGGCATTTCAAAGTGGGGGGTGCCTTTGGGGGTCTCCTCTTTTTGCTCGTCAGATTTAAACGTGCTGCATGGGGGGAGGTACCGGAAAAGGGAAACCCCTAGAGATTTTTGATTTTAAGCAAAGCGTGCGATCCTCGCCCTGTCCCTTCCGTGAAGCTAAAAGCATTGTTGGGGAACTTGTTTTTCCACCATCACCTTGCTTTTCTATGAGTGCAGTCTGGGAAAAAAGTGAGGAAATTGATGGGAAATACTCTCCTGACCCGCCCTGTTCAGGGGCACGGTGTTGATATAGCAAACCCCCCCCCGGGTTTCCATTGAATTGGACCAAAAACTGGTCCAATTTCCCGAGGGCTCCATCATGCCCCTCGTTTCTTTCCCCAAAGTCTGCCAAGAGTTTTTACCCTTGACTTTTTTTTCTCTCGGAGAAGAACATATAATGGCCCTTTTCACTTCAAGAACTGGAGGCAACGCTCTCACTTTCCGATATCGCCCGCTGGGGCCCGATGACATTCATATTCGTTGTTACAACAATTTCATCGGTCAGCCCCTTTAGTCCTCTTACACCCCTTCAACTTATTTGGGCACAAGGAGTTTCCCCCGCTGTGGAAAAACTGCCTTTTTTCCCCCTTTCCCCAAACCGGGGACTAAGGGCATGATGCCTCCCACACGCCCCCTCGCTCTTTAAAATCGTTTTCAAATGATGGAACCCCGTAAACGACGTTTAATGTGGTATTGAGACTCACAACAGTCTTCCCCTAGCAAAAGGTTTTTGTAAGGGGCGTTCTACCTGACCCCCCTTACTACGCTTGGGTCGTATGTTCGAATGCCTTTTTCGAATAATCACCAGTTTATTGCCATATTTTTTGACCTTGGAAAACAAGACCAACTTGGGGGTATAATATTTTGGGCCCCGGCCCCTTCCTAGGCCTCCGAGGCAATTTCCCTCCTTCCTTAAAAACTTTTTAACTGCAGCATTTCCGTGTTCGAGTCAATATGTTCTTTTCCCCCCTTTCGTCCAAGCTGAAGGGGTCCCCGGGATGGTTTCTAAGCACAACCTTTTTTCTCCTTGCTAAAATGATTTGGGCCCCTGTTTCCACCCAATATTTTTTCACATCTTGTTGAGATTCGCTATTGCTTTGGGGAGGCGCTGACTGTCCCTTAATGCAGTTTTCTCCGCATGCGGTCGCCCTGTTCCACTTGGGGCCCCCACAATGGGTTTAATTTCAAGACCAAAAAAACACCAAAAAACTTTCACTAGACGCCGTTATCTCCCATCATCCTTTGTATCTCAGGCCTTTCCCGATCCCCGAACGTGATACAGTAGGTTTTGCCTTTTCTTTGCCGTCGGTTTAACCCGGAAACCTCACATTACCTCTCTGAAGGCAACTTGTCACAGCCGGGTAAAAACCTTTTTAAAACCCTTCTCATCTTTCCTGGGAGCTGATCGTCGAACTCTGCTTCGCCTCATTCAGCCCTCGTTTTATCGAAACTCGTTATGGGACCCAATTTTTTTTCCCCCGGGCCCCTCCTGCTACCTCTCTAGCCTTAACTCTATCCACACCAGGCTTACGTTTGGCCTTGGTGCTTTCGCTCTTCCCCTGTTTGGGGGGCCTCTAACAAAGCAAATGTTCATCCTGTCTGATCGCCGGATGCCCATTGCCTTCGTTTTATTACGCTCTCCGATTACACAAACCTTCCATTTTAGAAAAGGTACCGATTTAGTAACATTCTTTTTTTCTTCGCCGCCCTGTTTTCTCCGCCTTTTCCCCTTCGCCTACTTCACTCTTGCTTCCCCTTCAGTTACCACCCTTTTAAAGTTCGTAGCATCTCACTTTTTCCCCACCCCCGGGAAGTTCCAGCTTTCGGGCTGTTCTTTCTCACTCCCTCTCAAAGCTCAATGCCTACGGGGGCTTCCCGCTCCCCTTTTTCTTGTCATTCCACTCTCATTCTCATGCCACCGCGGTACACAGATGGTCTAAGTCTTTAGACGGCGTCGGATTCGCAGCATGTTTCCGGGCGCCGTACGAGGGCATTACTATCTTTAGCTAGCATTTTACTGCTGAACTGTATGCCATTCTTTCGCACTTTTCGTTCGCATTTGCCTGTGCAAACATTTGTATATCTCAGACCCCTTATCTCTACAGGGTATACGAAAAAATTTTATACATCCACCCCCAGTTCTCCTATCCAACTTTGGGTACGCCGTACTCTACCAAACATAAAGATATTGTTTTTTGTTGGGGGCCCGGTCCCGTCGACTACAGGGGAATGAACAGGGAGACACGCTGCGCGGGCACAGTAATGCCCCCACCAAATTTTCCCATCGGGGTGTTCCATTTCTGGACCATTTTGCTGCAATAGCTACCCCCCTTCGCACCCTTTGGGAACAACGTTGGTCAACCTGCCGGTAACAAACTTCATTCTTTAAACCGGCATAGGTTCGGCCGCTTCTTTTCACAGTGGCGAGGTTGGGAGACCCCTCTCCCCCCTTTGCATTGGCCACACTCGTCTTACCCTGGGGATCTCATGGAGAGGCACCCTGTTCCTCTCGTGACATGTCAAGTTCCAGTATCGATTACCACATTTGTTGACTGCCCTCTCTATCAACGACCGCAAAATTTACCTCCAAAGTTTCCTTTTTCTCCCACTCTCTCTTACCTTCCCTTCTGCTGATGGCCCTCCTTTAATCCTACCCCTCTTGACTTTTTGACAACGATGTTTTTCCCCAAATCTGAGATACTTTTCGCACTCCCCCAGCCCCTTTTTTTTTCAGTCTCTTGTGCCTTACCCCTTCACCATCCACTGCCCCGCTGTTATCCGTAACCTGTTGCTCATCCATCTCCCTTTTGCCACCTGATGCCCTCGCTTCCTTCCTGCCCTGCAGCGCTGTATAGTCCTTGTGGCTTAGCGCTTCTTTTTGATTATAATAATAAAATTTAAGCAGATATTACTTTTTTAAACTCACTGGCTGTCCCCCACCAAGGCAGGGTGACCCATTATTTATTCAATTGTGGTGTTACCAGAAGTGAGCCAACATCACAATTCAGGTTATCCTTTGACTGCAACATCCCCAACCCTCCTAAGTGCAGGCACTAACCTTCCCACCTCCCGAACTCAATATGGCTAATGGGTTTTCCCAGAATCCATTCTGAATGTTACTTTGGGGTTAATGAGGTGGTTTGGACACTAAAAGTGGACAGAGGAAAATATGATGACTAAGAGGGTGTATAAGTCTGGGGTGGAGGAAGGGGGTATGGGTAATCTCAGGAAAAGGGAGGAGGGGGGAGTAAAGGGGGGTTTTTTTTTTTCTAGGGGTTTTTTATGTCCAAAACAGTACAGATAGTGAGAGGAGGCAAGTGGCTTTTATGATTTGAAGTGCTTTTGGAATGAGAGTAGGGTAACATTTATGAATGGATTTTAGGAAACCGGTTAGGTGGATTTAAGTCCTGAGTTGTGAAGTACAGCGTTACACTCTGAAGGAGGGGCTGAAATATTGCAGTTCAAAGGGCCATCTGTACTGTGATGTAAGCATACTTCTCGCAAGACAATGATTGAATACATGACTATGAAAGTGTTTCTTCTTTTTGGGGTAACTCTTCTTTGCTGGGATATGACTGGTGTTAAAAAAAAAAAAAAAAAAAAAAAAAAAAACATTTGTGTTGAACACTTTGAATATAACAACAACTTTTAAGTGTATATTTAAATTACATTGTAATATTTCAGGAAGATGATTCACTTTCTATGCTGGAGGAGATTATTATGAAGATCAGACAGTTTTGTTGGAACATCTTTATCTTCTGTGCAGTGTGCTATATTGGCACATCTCTATACTAATCACTGTATGCCCCTCATTACCCTCTCGTCTCTGTTCTAAACTGTGCAGCTAACTGCACTGTTTTGTGTCCATTGTGTTGGCACCTGCATTGTGGACATTACAATTTGCTACACTGGGCCGTGCAACTTGAATGCAGAATTGTTGAAAATTATTTTATGGTGTATTGAACTACACCTGCCTATACAAATTCAGTCTCCTGAGGCAAAAAATCCTACATTTATTTATATATACATTGACTTAAATGCAAATGACAACAATCATTTAAAAATCACTAATAAAATAATAGCAATGTTCACTATGCATATATATACCAGAATGGAGAATATAAATCAAATGCTGGTTAAATTTAGAGGCCCAGATAAGAATATTATTGCTTCCCCGAATATTCTTGTTCTAATTGTGAAACAGGCTTTACATAAGTGACTTGCATCACAGACCTATAGAATTTATGTATGGTACAGTATTGTATATAGCAAAGATTGAGTGGCCAGTGAAAAAACATAAAATGGAATTAAAATTCATTTGTGAGCAGAGGGATGATTTCCTTGCACTACATCTGCTATTCCTAGAGCAGGTGTAGAGCATTAAGCCAGTCAGACTGTAGCTCATAAGAATCATGAGAATGAGCACCACCAGAAATACAGCTTGAGCACTTAAGTTCCCTGTGGGCCCAGTAATATTGCAGAAGTGCCACATTGTATCACCTTGTACACAGATCCAGGGACACTACCCATATTATTTTGGAGATGAATATCCAGCAAAAGAATTTCCTTCATATTAACTTGAGTTTTAAAGTGTTGTATGGTTTTACTGAGAAGTGCTACTTATTTTGCCTACTTTATTAGCATACAAAAGTTTTAACATCTTATCAAACTTTACTGAACCAGAGCAGATAAAGGTCAACATGAAATAAAAGAAACCCAACCCATCAGTCTCTGCCAAGATAAGCTGTATGACCCTTGTGGGTTTAGTGCTTAGTTATGATTATAATAATAATAATAATTGCCAAGATAAAATATTTAGAGTACTGTGCATTCTTTTATGTTGCTAAAGCTGCAATAAACTGATCTTCAACATTATTTCAAGTTTTCTTCACTAATAGGTAACATTTCTCTTTGTGAAATCTTTGCAGTACGTATTTCCTGAAATGTTTCAGATAAATTAGAATGAAAACAAAAATTGCTTTGTGAGTTACAAACGTATACCTTCCTCATCTCTAAATAACCAGAAGCTTATAATAAGCACAGTGCTGTATGACCCTAGTGGGTTTAGCACCTGGTTTTGATTATAATAATTATAATAATCAGCAACACACTTTCCAAATGTGGAAACTAAATATTAAGACTGCATCCTAAAAGTTTATAAATAGTTTATAAATATATTACCAATGACATTTTATGATAAGTTGGCTAGTGCCCCATTGGCAGCTATAGGAAGGTGACTTTACAGTAGTTAATGTACAGTATAGTTTAACAATGTTTGTGATCTGCTAACTAATTCAACTCCTAAACGGAAATAAATAGGTCATTGCCATGCAAATATACGTCTACATTTTATTCCATGAGGACATATAAAAATTATGGTTTTAATACATAAATAAAGTTATGAAGAAATATAACATTTTCAATGAATCCTTCACAGGATTTGTTATCTTAAGTCAGCTTTTCAGATATTATATTGACAGTGACAGGTGCTGTATGATCCTTACAGACTTAGCATTTCCTCTTAAATGTACTGTATTAAAATACTGACATGTTTTGAGGCTCTGTTTTAAAATGTATTGGAAGCAGTGTGGCCACCCTTAGTCTACACTTTGCCCCTGATTGACACTACCCTGCAAGGCCCACTTTCCTTTATAGAGCCACCTTGCCCTCCTCCACAGAACTACCTGCACTCTACAGAACCACCCTGCCTTTAACAGAGCAACCTGCCATCTTTTCCACAAAACTACCTTACCTTCATACTCAGAACTGCTCTACCCTCGCTCATAGTCACCCAACCCTCCTCCAAAGAACCCCTCTGCCTGACTCGACAGAACTACTCTGCACTATTCCAGAGGAGTGCTCTGTCTTACACAGAACTGATCTGCCCTTCAAAGAACTACTGTTTCTCCTTCCACAGAAATTCTCTGCCCTACTCCACAGGACTACCCTGCCTTCCACAGAACTAATCTTCCTTCCACAAAACTACTCTTCTTTCTACAGAATTATTCTGCCCTCCACAGAACTACTCTGCCTTCCACAGAACTACTCTGTCCTCCACAGCTACTAGGTCCTCCACATAACTACTCTGCCCTCCATGGAATTAGTCTGCCTTCCACAGAACTACTGTGCCCTCCATAGAACTGCTGTTGCCCTCCACAGAATGCTTTACCCTCCTCAACAGACCCACTCTGGAGTGGGTGGGAAAGTGGGAGGCAGAGGAATGGAAAGGGTTGTAGAGAGGGTGGGAGGGAAAAGGTGTAACAGTGTAGAGGGCAGGTGTGATAAACTTTGTATCAGGCAAGATCTTATCTGTGCTTGTGGCCATGAGTCATCTGATAACACAACTGCCTTCATTCACCACCATTACTGCCTCCATTCCCCTCAAGGGAGGTTCCTTGATGCTCGTGAGGGGCTCTTGATCTAGGGAATTGGATCGGTGCTCCAGTTCCCTGAATACCTTCCATCCCCCCCACATGCGCTGTATAATCCTACGGGTTTAGCGCTCCCCCATTATAATAATTACTACCTCTACTACTCTTCTCAATGGAGGTTCCTTGATGCTGCTGAGGGGCTCTTGATCTAGGGAATTGGATCTGTCCAATTCCTTGAATTAAACCTGAATACCTTCCGGCCCATCTTCCCCACAGGCGCTGTATAATCCCTACTGGTTTAGCTCTCCCCATAATAATACCTCCGCTACTAATATTCTAATTATCACTACTAACATCCGAATAATTACCACTACTAACATCCTTATAATCACCACTACTAACATCCTTCTGCGCTGTATGACCCTTGTAGGATCAGCTCTTCTTTTTTATTATAATAATACTGACATCCTTATAACTACCACTAATAACATCCATCCCTATAACCACTACTCTTAACATCCTTATAATTACCACGCAGCTTCATGGTCTGGAACAATATGAGGCTGGAGTCTTTAAGACTCCATTCTTATGCTTCAGCTTCATATTGTTCCAGATCATGGAGCTGAACTCTTCTCCAGGTTGAGAAAATGACCACCTTAAATATTATTTCTCCAAGGTTAATGGACTGATTACGTCATCTTCACTTTATTACGCCTTCTGCCTCTGTATTTGACTGAAGAAGCCTACTGTGTAGGCGAAACATTTCAACAATAAGGATCACAACTGTTGCACATGTCTTAATCATCATCCATAAATTATCAGTGCTAAAACAAGAACGAATGTTAGTGTAGTTTAGATTTTGTAATTTTTTAGGTTTACTGGTGTACCTTAGTAACATTTTAAATTGGATGACTGACTAAATAGAACATTTTTTTTTTTTTGCATATAATATCCGATATTTGAGCTTGTGCAGGCAAACACTCCCACTAATCATGTTTTCAAAGTGGTATATAATACCATTTTGTAAAACATCACTTGAATGTCTATATTGACTGAAACGTTTCGCCTGCACAGTAGGCCTTTTTAGTCAAATACAAAGGCAGCAGACATGGAAGCTAAGTAAAGATGATGTAGTCCATCAACCTTGGTGATATAATTTTTGAAATGGTCAGTCCCTCAGCCTGGAGAAGAGTTCGGCTCCATGACAGATGAAGTATAGGAATGGAGTCTTGACTCCAACTTCACATTGTTCCAGACTATGGAGCTGAACACTTCTCCAAGCTAAAGGACTGACCACCTCCAAAACTATTTCACCAAAGTTGATGGACCGATTACACATTCACTTCGCTACCATGCCTGCTGCCTGTTTGACTGAAGAAGCCTACTGTGTAGGTGAAATATTTCAATCATCAACAAAGATACCCAACTGTGGCACAAATGTCTTATTCTTCATATAATTATGCTTCGTCATTTCCCCCTCCGTGACCGTATCTAATTTATCTCTTCCGTTTTCGGATCAGAAATATACCAAGTGTTATTTTTTTCCTTTCTACATTACGAACATGAATGAATTCTTTTTCTTTCTAATGACCATGCCATGGTGAGGTCTAACAAAAAGTACTGAAAAGTTACTGAAACAAATACGTTATTAGCTTGCAGAAACTGCTACATTATAAAAAATGTTCATGCAATGTTCTGAGAAATCATTCATGACTCAATAAAAGGCGGAGCTTAACATGACTGTCAATGACTGTGATAATGGAGGTAGCAAGCAATGGTGCTGGCCTCTATCAACTGAGTAGTCAGATACACATTGCTCACCTGATAAGACACATTAAGGAAGAGCCAGCAGTGATACAACACTTTCCTTGCAAGGAACAACACCCAAAAGCGCCTCGTGGAATATAAGACAGAGAAGAACCCGCAGAATATTTCTGAAGTTTCACTTGCTGAAGATTCATATTCTTGTTGGCTGAGTTCAGTGTTACTCAAGATATAACCGACTTTCAAGATCTGTGGTAATATATTATTTACGTTACGTTGTTAAAATAACAATTATATTGCTACTCAACTATTACTATAATTTTTTTTTTTTTATTCTGCTTGTAGAATTATTATTATTATAATCAAAAAGAAGCGCTAAGCCACAAGGACTATACAGCTCTGCTTGTAGAAGTTACCCAACTACTCTTACTATTATCACCACTGTATCCTGTATTGAGTGTTATTAGTCATCTTACAAGCCCTGCTACTCAAACTCATTTTTTTTATTTCCACATGATACATTGTACAGAATTGGATGACATTTCATATAGCACAAGGAAAGCCCCTGGTTATGTACTCATTATTACTTCAGCATCAAGGCACCAACAAAGAAATTATGCAAAATCAAAATCACAAGTGACACAGTCCTTAGAAAAACTGAAATAAAAAAAATGCCAATAGGAGCTTAGACAACCATGCACTAGTCTCATAACAGATCACTACAAATGGGTATCCTACCAGATTTCTGGGCCACAAAGATTTGAAAAATTATAAACGTGATATTCATTTACAGAGCTGGAGATAGGTTTTAAGCTTCAAATTATGGACCAGTTAGCCTACTCTCAATTGAGGGAAAATTGATGGATTCAGTAATTGCTGATGCAATTGGAAGTCACCTTGAAATATATAATTTGA